TGTGCGAGTGGAGTCGCCGAGTCGGACTGTTTACTTCTTTATGTTATTACGAACTACTAGTATTTGACCCGTGCGCTGCACGGTATGTAAATTAAAAAGTATTAATTGTGTGTATGTTATGTTACAATTTGTGTGAACTAATGCGGTTAAAATTTATATACTACATCTAGAGTTGGAGTCAAAATAGCATGATTATGAAAATAGTTGAAATCAGTGTTACCACTACAAAACATAAGAAATGTGCTATCAACAATTGTACCAATGGGATCATCATTACAGTGCAACAAAAAATGGTCGGGAATAGTAATATCGACTTCACCGTCAGATGAATTCCCAACTACTCCTCCATCACCAATATTTGCAATCCGCAATGATTGTGTAACAAATAAGTTATCATTTACAAAAAATAAGCACCACCCAACGATTAATTAAAAGTAATAACTACAAATTAAAAATATTTAAGTATAACAAATTTTACTTGGAGGATTGTGTCATTCTAGATTTTCAGAGCAAAACTATACTCCCACACCAAGTAAAATTTGCTATACTTAAATACTTTTAATTTGTAATTATTACTTTTAATTAATCGTTGGGTGGTGGCTTATTTTTGTAAATGATAACTTATTTGTTACACAATCATTGTGGATTGCAAATATTGGTGATGGAGTAGTTGGGTATAGTACAATTACCCTTCATTAACTGTTTATAATTATATTAAATAAGCAAATGTTAATAATAAAATATATTATTATGATATGAATCTATCGCATGGAAACTTTTTCCCATATATGTGTGTGTGTGTGTATTTAACTTTTTTTTTTCAACGAAAAACATGTTTTATTGGCGACGAATAGCCCGATGCGTGGCAAAACCCCTTACATCAAAAAATAAGGCCAGCTTAGCCGCAGAAGGCAGTGAGTGTAAAGTATGAAAATTTTTGAAGTGTTAAAACCGAGGCCAGCTGTTGCAAGAGCGTCCGCAACGTGATTGGCTTCCCTGTAAATATGTCGAATACTGGAACCCCATAAACTAAGAGTGGATCGAACGTAAGAAACTGCTGGCTCAATTCTCCAAGGAATCCTTGTATCGTGCGCAGAGATCAAGTTGGCAAGAGAGAGAGAGTCGACTTCCACAGCAAAAGGAGCCATGGCAAAGGCAGCACACCATTGTACAGCCAGCTGAAGAGATAGAGTTTCCGCTTCCATGGCTGACGAGGCCTCAAAGCGGAAGCATAAGCCTACAATCAGTTGGCCACGAGATCCCCGAACGCATGCTCCACCCGCTGCCCCAGCATCCGAAAAAATAGCATCTGTGTTTAATTTCAATCTTCCTTCGGGTGGGTGAAGCCATTTTACCCAAATTGTTGTACGCTGCAGCGGGGCAGCAAAGCCCGTAACGAGACCAGCCGATACAAGGAAGTCACCATTGCCCCCACTCTTTTTAATCGGGTGAGACAGAGATATTAAAAAGGCCTCCCTCTTAATCATGTGAATGGAGCCGGCTGGTGAAAAAGCAGTACCCTCGTGAAGGCAGACATTGTAGGCCTTCCATAGGAACCATAAGATGAGGCAGGGGAGCAGTTGCGCATAAAACATTGTAGCAGATCTGGCTGGAGCCAATAACCACCATGAGTGACACTGCGAACGTATCGAGCTGGCAACGGCCCTCGACAATGCAAAAATATCAGCAAAATAAATCCAGACATCTTGTACGCTAGCACAACTGAGGAGGCAGTGATCTAGACTGGCAGAATCCCTCCGGCAAAATGGGCATACCGAGGGCATTGAAAAACCAAACCGCTGTAGAGTATCTGGAAACGGCAGCAAACGGCGTAGCAATCTCCACATGAAAATAGACACTTTTGAAGGCAGCCCCCGCCCCAGATACAGGAGGCGGAAAGACAGCGACCACCTGTCGGTCGAAGCGCATTGTATGCTGAATGATTTACTAGACGCCATCTTTTTCTCGGAGGGACAATATGCGGCTGTTTGAGGGGCGCTGGTTCATTCTGATGGCCAGTGGGAGCATCACGAATGAATTGAAGATTGAGAACGCATTCTGAGTCCTGATGCCCAAATTTTCGGCACCCCAAGCAATATGGTGGTACAAATTCATGGACTATCCTCTGCGTAAAACCTCCGTAAGAGCCATTATTGATCCAGACTTGTTCGACGAGAGGTAAACTTACGTTGAGCTCCACACACACCCTAGCTACCGACGGGCGGTTAGGTACTAAGGTGAGGTGTCGACTTTAAGGGGTTGCCCACCAGATTAGCAATCGAGTAAATGGCCCGCTTGTCGTGGAGATGAGCCGGCAAGCCTTCCAACGCTAGCCAAACAGGAATAATGGAGACTCAACATCCGGGCGAAAATCTGGCGTCCAGCGAAAGACTCGCATGAGGGATCCCTTGATCGACCATGTCTTTCGAAGCCAGCAGCGCTGGAAATCGATCTCATGATCAAAGTTTATCAGAATGTGCCTCTGATCGATCAGGCCTAGAGTGAAGGCGCCACCAAAGCCAATTTGGTCAAAAGTCTTGCGAAGATCAGCCATCGGCGGCGACTTTTTGCGAATTTGCCTACTAGTGCAAAACGAAACTTCTCAGAGAATTGTTGTACGTCGTCGTCTGAGAAGGAGACCGCGGGCATACCCTTATAACGCCTCGGCGGCCGGAGAGGCGAGGATTCAGATGATTTCGATAGAATATCAGCAAAAGTGCGGTGAGGGGCGCGCGGCCCCCGGCGGTGCCGCCATCAGAAGCACGCAAAGACAAAGATTGTGTGTATTTAACTTCTGCGGGCTTATAATAAATTTAAATTATATAAAAACGCTTAACGTTAGATAGAGTACTACTTGATTATTGTACATGTGCGATGCACGGATATGACTTATACAGTAATAAAAGTTTAGTAGTTTTTATATTAAATTTGATTTTCATAAAAGTAATCAATTGCAAAAATTTATACTATAGATCCATAATTTCTATACTATAGATCCATAATTTCTATACTGTAGATTCATAGTTTCTAAACTATAAATTCATAATTTCCATACTATAGATTCATAATTTCTATACTATAGATTCATAATTTCTATACTGTATAGTTATCAAATTATGAACATATAGTTCAGTGATTTGTGAATACAGAGTTCAACAATTGAGAATATAAATATTGAAAATTATGAACATAGAGTTCTGTAATTGTGAATATAGAGTTCAAAAATTATGAATTTATAATATAGAAATTATGAATCTATAATATAAAAAGTATGGATTTATAGTAGAAAAATTATGGATCCAATTCCGTATGTACCATGCATAATGCACACAGTTGCACAACATAATTTGCCTAAAACCACTATACAATTAAATATCTATACACAAACATATATGGAATCTGAGCGTAAATTACAAACTATTAAAATTAATATTACAAATTATTAAAATTTGTAATATTGCAATATTATTAAATTTGGAATATTTGAATTTTATATTGAAATTCAATTTCACAATTAAAGTACAATATAAGATACTAATCAGAACTAATAGCTTAGTTTTCAGAATGAACTAATTTCACTTTTGGTCCGACGACTTTAGAGGTTCTATCATTTTTGATGCACAACTTTAAATTTTTTCAATTTTGGTGTCTAATTTTGTTGTTTTATCAATTTTGGTCCTTTCGACCAAATTGACAGCGAAATATTGCCGAATTTTACATTTTAGGGGCAAAATCGTCATCCCAAAGAAAAATATTCAATATCTAAACAAAAGAAAAATCATGTTAAGAGAAATATAAGAGTTTGGCAATCGTCGATGCTATAAATCTCATAGATCTGTGTCTAGTTTCTGTCCGTCTTCTCAATTATTCTCATCGATCAAACACCTATAGATATGATTTTAGAGTGATTTTGTTTAGATATTGAAGATGTTTCCTTAGGATGACGATTTTACCCCTAAAAATATAAAATCCGGCAATATTTCGTCGTCAATTTGGTTGAAAGGACCAAAATTGATAAAAACAACAAAGTTAGGCACCAAAATTGAAAACTTTTAAAGTTGTGCACCAAAAGTGATAGATCCTCTAAAGTCGTGGGACCAAAAGTGAAATTAATTCTTTCTAGAATCATCTTCACTCTCACTCACTGCACCTCTGCATCTCGCCTCTCTTAAGCTCACAAACTAAGAACTCTCTAGACACTCCTCACAATACTTAAGCTAAGTTTAGTGATTTACACACTACATATTTTCCATTGGAGATCTACCTCTACTGCTTTTTTTTTTTTCTTTTTTTTTTTTCTTTTTTTTTTTTTTTTTTTTAAGTTAGGGTTCTTTCCTAGCTAATCTCTGAGAAGCAATCCAGAAATTCCAACTGTCTGAGTGGTTTTGTCAGGTATATTAGATTGAAGAAGATGAATATGGCCTACCAAATCTGGAAAATTCAAGACGCAGGTTCGTTTGATATATGGGTCTGTTCTGATGGTCATAAAATTGGTAATATTTTTCTCAAATTGAAAAATTTTCTGGTTTAAGGGGATAATTGCATGCATTCGAATCTGGATAGTCCACTGTAAACTCCTTCATCTCATCTTGAATCTATATATATTTTTAATAGATTTAGTTTAGTTCTCTCATACAATGATCGTATTCACCATTCATCAACTCCAAAGCTATGAATTTTTACGGCTTATCTTATGGGCAGCCATTGATGATCTAATTAAACCTCGGGTTTGCAGTGAAATTATCCACGTTAGATTCGGCTTGAACCTTCGGATCAACTGTTTCCTGTTCATGTTTGTGTTGTTGTTGTTTCAGCTATTATTATTGGTTATGTAGGCTGGGTTGATGATGATTTTTCTACAGTTCATCGGGATGGAGGGACCCGACCCGGGGCAAACTCCCGGTCTGCAGCCATGGCGGTATGGTTTCTCCATTACCAAATCTGAGCTTATTTTCTGCTCCATATAATTTCAAAAATTAAACTCCATATAGGCATTTTGCTCATAGTATTTTAATTATGTTAGAGTCACTTGGAACTGCAACTCTTGATTTTGGAGTACATATATATAGTTGGTTTGATGTATTTGGAAACTGTGTCTTAATTATTAATATTAATAATATTTTAAAATACAATTGTCACCGTGCCTCTATCTCTGTCAATCCATCGGTTCCATTTCCAGAAGGTTCACTTTACCTTCATCGTCTCTGCGCTTTCTGTTTCGTCACTCTGAAACTCCACCATTTTAGCTCGAATCCTACTCCATACCACACAGCTCGCTTGCGATTCTTGTCAATCGCAAGAGCATATGGTCGTATATCATAGTTTTCGTGGTTTTTCAAGCCCTATTTTAGATGTGTAGATTGTAGCAGTTTCCTTGAAATTTCTAAGTTGAATCTTGCAGCCAAGGTAAGTTTTATACTATATCATTCTATTAATTTATATTCTATGAAACAAATCATCCTAATTTTATTAGATACAGGCAACCCTAACAGTTTAAGCTTGATTTCTACATGATCAATACATCCCAAGTCCTCTTAGAGTATGGATCTTTGGAAATAGTGACTTGGAAAGCACATGCAGATCATTTTTGTGTATGAATTTCTTACAAAGGTGGGTATGTTCACTATTTGGAGGTGTATTTGCTGGAGTGGCCGTTTTATACTCCGATTACCTACAAAATACTTTCAATTTCTTGGTGGAATTGCTCATAGCATTAGACTTTCTTAGTAATGATAGTATGATACTAAAAGTTTTGTCCCACCTTTAATGTGCATGATTGAAATTTATCCAAGTTGAATTATCAGGTTAAATTTTATCTACTTGTACTTTCTTTTGTCGCACATCTAATTGCATAGTGTTTCACATCTACTTTATATATGTGATACTTGTATGTTTTGTCTGTTGTGTGTCCTGCTTATTTACTAACATCACATCCTAGTTTTTGCAAATGATGAAATTTACTTTTGATGCTATATACAGAATACTTATTAAGTTCTCTACTATGGACCGCAGAATGCTTACCTAACACTGAGTAGGAGTCTGAATATGGATCTTTGAAATTATCACGTGTATCTTTAAATTGAAGTTCATGTACCCCAATCACAATGAGCCTGGGTTGCTACTATCCAATCACTTATCCATCTCAGAACGATTGAATTGCAAGTAGAAAACTGTAGTTTTTGTTTCAATTTCTATTGTTTGTACTTTGAAGATATACTATTAGAGTCTTTATGACACACTACCATTTTGATTTCTACCTTTGCAACATAGTTCATACTATTATTCTACTCAGTATTTAAGTGCTTACTGTGTGTCATGCAGTTCAGAGTAACATCCCTTTGTAGTTTTTTTTAAATGATACTGCCAAATTCTGATTTTATATACAGAATATTCCCTAAGTTGTCTATGCTGAAGAGCACAGCATGCGTACGGAACACTGAGTAGTAGTAGGATGTATTGATCTGTTTATTTATCACACATGTATTTTGAAATTTAAGTTGATGTAAACTTTGCACAATTTGTTTTTCCAAGTTTCTACTTTTACATTCACAGTACACACTATTACAGACTGGGTTGCTGATATCAATATGGTACCTCATCTTTTCTTTCACAGTATAATATATACTATTATAGACTTGATGACACTTTATAATTTTGCTCCCTACATACTTTTGACATAGTATGTGACTACATTCTCTTCTTAAGTAATTACTGTTTCTTGTAAGTATAAAGTGTAGAGTTAGATATCTATTTCAATTTTCAAGATTCTTCTCCTCTAATTATTTGAGTCGTCTTCCTTAGCTCGCCAATGTTCTCCTCTGCAACTGAGATCAGAAACTTGGTTCAATTTGATCTCTGTCAGCTGGACATGTTCTATAGATGGATCAAGGCTTGTTTTTACATTCTCATATATTGGTACTCTTTATAGTTAGTATGAGTTCTCTCAATCAAGAAGAAATTCAAGAAAACTGCATCAATACAGAACCTGGGAGAACAGATACTCACCATGCTCGGAATCTAAAAGCTAAGTTTGATTAAACCTATTTTAATCATTACCTACTACATATGCCAGTAATTACATTTCCAGATCTATGTTTAATTTAGATCCTTAATTTCTAAACAGTTAAGAATTTTTTATTGTCTATAAATCTTGGGTTTTTTCTAATTGCATGTGTGATTTAAACTACATTTTCCTCATATCTATGCCAACGATTACATTTCCAGATCTGTGTTTAATTTAGGTCCTCAATATCTAGAGGGTTATCCTGTTGTCTATAAATCTTTGGTTTTTTCTAATCGCATGTGTGATTTAAACTACATTTTCCTAATATTTATACCAGCAATTACATTTCCAGATCTGTGCTTAATTTAGGTCCTTAATATCTAAACAGTTAAGAATTTCTGATTGTCTATAAATCTTGGGTTTTTTCTAATCGCATGTGTGATTTAAACTACATTTTCCTCATATCTTCAAAATAGATAGATGCATGTTTGATATATCATCAAATCTGAGACTTTAAATTAGTATTAGCTTCTCCATTCCATGATTTTTAACTTTGATTGTAGTTCATAGTTGTTTTCCGAGAGATTTGTGCGATTCTAGATGATTCATTTTAGAATCGCAGTTGGCTTTCTTTTTTATTTTTTGTTTTTACTACTATATATTGATATATTGACACATATCCTACGAATTTCTAAATTGGTTTTTGAACTACATCCCCAGCTTAGAGATGGAAGAAGGAACAGATTCATCCACAATTGGGAGTAGGTGTTTCACACTAGGTATGTGTGATTTAACATTTAAAGATTCATGTAGTAGGTGTTTCTTTTTACAAATTGGTTGCTCAAATGTGATTTTAAGTGTTAATTCTATCACTCATGAAATATTTGTATTTGTAATTTACCTGTTTCTTTACAAACTTTATTTGTATTCCACATCAATTTGCTTGCTAATATATAAAATACAGTATAGATCTAATCTACACTTGGATTAGATAAGAACTAATTTAGATAATTTAAAAAACTTCTTATCTGGCCACTGTTGGTGTACATTCTGCCTTTCGAACTTGTCCTCATATTACTCCCATCAGCTTACTTATCTGGGAAGACAGGATTGTTCTTCTTGATTGTGTGAAACTTGCATTCTATGAATATTTTTCTCCTACAACATTTCAAAGTATAATAAATAAACACAATCTATTCTATGTTTGAAAATTTTTTCAGCATACAAATGGTAAAATGATAAAGAAGATTTCAATAAGAGGTAACAACCATAATTGAAATAAGTATAACATATAAGTTGAATTAAGCATTGAAATCACGTATGCATACCTCTATTTGCAGAAATGTGTTTTTTTTCAGCACATGCTTCTTTGTTAATTGTAGCATCTTCCCTTCCCTGACCAAATTATTTGTAGAATTCACCTTGACATTTTCACAAACAGTTTGCAGGTATGAATTATTATTGCTAGGTTTTGTAGATTCAGTCAATGGTACGCCCACATTCCCATTTGATTTATACAATCAATTGGTGCACACTATGAGCAGTATGAGTTAACACATTCATTCGCTATTCAATGAAAATTAGAAGTGGAAGGCTTACCCGCTATTATATCCGCAAATGAGATCCCCTTATTCAGTAGTCCTGCCAAAGCTCCTGCTTCTCCCTTAATTGCAGCCTCAGAGAGCTTATGTTGCTCGGCAATTTATACCATACACCCCGGTGTATAGAGCCATGTACGCCCAGCATCAAAACGACGCCGTATGGAATTGTTATGTAACGGATTTTTTTTTATTAGTCTGTTAACGCCGTCAAACGGTAAGAAGAGGGAAGTGAGAGAGCGGCTCTAAAGACATGATGTCGTCGCGCCGATCATGCATATTGGATTAGAGAACACGAGAGCTACCTGATTGTTCGATTTGCGTCGTATTTTGCAATTGTTGGATGGAAGCCATGTCTGATTCGATTGCACAGCAGGATGTGGCGGAGACAGAGCATACAACTGATCCTGTTGGAGTGGTAGATACAGAGGATGCTAATCCAGGTATTTGATTTTTAAGATTTTATTTTGTATTTGTGTTTGATGTATGATGAATATATTGAACTCGGTGTTGAATTATATAAGAATTGATATAGAATTTCTGTTTGATTGTGGTTGTTTTGGATGTTAGTATGGTTTGATTTGAAGTTGTTGTTTCAGTGAGGTTGTACGTGTATTATATGGTTTGATTTGTTTGGTTTTATGATTATGTGATTGTGCCATATGTGTATGTGTATTGTAGTTATGGATTATGTACATTAACAGTATGCGATATAGGTTTTATGTATTTTAATGATTATGTGTATTGTGCCATATGTTTATGTGTATTGTAGATATGGATTATGTACATTAACAGTATGGGTAGTTAAAATGTATGTTATTTGCAACTGATCAGGATTTGGTAGGGATGTCAGTGTGTTCGGTTGATGAAGCATATGACATGTATAATGATTATGCCTTTAGAGTAGGTTTTAGCGTGAGGAGGGGTAAGCAAAGATATAGTTCTGCTACAAAAACAATGAAAACGAAGATGTTCCATTGTTCGAAAGATGGTTTTAAAAGGAGTACAGGAAAAGGGTGTTATTCTAAAATTGATGGTCGTACAGGTTGTGGTGCATTTGTCCAATTCGATTTACATGAGAATGGGATGTGGATTGTTTCGAAGCATGAGAAGTTGCATAATCATGAATTGGTTCCACCAAGCAAGAGTTACCTTCTAAGGTCACATAGGATGGTGTCTAGGAATCATATATCATATCTTACTGATTTGAAGAGCAGTGGTGTGTCTGTTGCAGATGGTGTAAGATTACTTAAAACACAATCAGGGGGATCACCACTTGTTGGGTTTACAAGTGGGGATGCATATAATTCTCTATGTACCGATGCATTGAACAAATTGGATAGTACCGATTCAAACACATTGATTGAAATATTCAAACGGAGGCAGTCAAGTGAAAGGGATTTTTACTTTGATTTTGAGGTGGATTTGGAGTCAAGGTTGTGTAGTTTTTTTTGGAGGGATGGATGGATGAGGAGATACTATGATTTGTTCGGGGATTTGCTAGTTCACGATACAACATATCGTACTAACAAATATGACATGATTTGTGGACCTTTTGTTGGCATGAATAACCATTGCATGAATGTTATGTTTGGATGCGGTTTTTTGATGAATGAGAAGATTGAGTTATTTGTATGGTTGTTTAAGACATTTTTGAGATCTATGGATTACAAAAGTCCACAAAGCATAATGACTGATCAATGTGCTGCTATGGCTGCTGCAATTGTTCAAGTTTTTCCAAGTTCACGACATCGGCTATGTATATGGCATATTGACGAGAACTCAAAGAAGCACATTAAAGGGGGTTAAGAAATCAAAAAGATTTCCTAGATATATTCAATTGCTTGTTGAAGTATACGGATACAGATGCGGAGTTTGAATTTTACTGGACGAGGTACGTGTCTGATGTATGCTTCGTTATTTTATTTTTATTTTTTTTTGTTTGTTTTTATTATTAGTTTACACATGGATTATCATTGAATGAATAGTTGTAGATTATATTATACAGAATACGGAATTATTTTTCTGGATCAAGTTTATGTGTATCTGTTTGATAGTTTATGTGTATTCATGTATAAGATTATGTACATTAGTCTGTTCTGTATGTTATATACTGACATGCTTGTAGGTTTACTTTAATATATCTATGGCATGTTATTTCAGGATGGTTACAACATATAAATGTCACAATAATCATGGCATGTTATTTCAGGATGGTTACAACATATAAATGTCACAATAATCACTGGATTGAAAAGTTGTATGGGTGTAGAGAAAAATGGTGTCCTGCTTTTAATAAAGATTATTTTTCGGGTGAGATTTTATCTTCTCAAAGGAGTGAGACCACCAATCACTCTATTTCTAGAAGGTTGTCCAAGACATCTGGTTTGTGTGATTTTTATAACTCTTTTGTTGGGGTCATATCAGAGTGGAGAAGTAGAGAGAATTGGGAAGATGTTCGGTGTTCACAAGGTGTACCCACAATGGTGATGGATAATGTTAAGATTCTGTTGCATGCTAGGGAAATTTATACAATTGAGATATACTATTTGTTTGAAGAACAATTTTTGAAAGGTGGATCATGCTATCAAGAGTGTGTGATGTTGGAAGATGGTGTGTATAAGTATCATGTCTGGAGGCCTGATGTTGATATTATTAGGCATGAAGTGGTGTTTAATAGTAGACAAATGGACATTGGATGTAGTTGCAAGTTGTTTACTGAATTGGGGATTTTGTGCTGTCATTGTTTACGCATTCTAAATGTGCATTGTGTTTCTGAAGAACCCGAGAAGTATATTTTGAAGAGGTGGACTAAAAAATTTTTTGAAGTTGATAATGTTGATATAATGTCTAGAGTTGATAGTGGTAATGGTGCATCTTCTGTTTGGTTATTAGAAATCATTAGGAAATTTCAGAGGCTTGCTGTTTATAGTCAGGAAAATATCGAAGGACGGAAGATTTGTGAAGAAGCAATTGCAGATGCAAAGAGAAGACTTGAAGCTGAATGTGGTGGCAGTTTATTTGAAGATTGTGACATAGGATCGACAAGTGGTGTTATAAAGGATCCATCTACTAGGCGGATGAAAGGGTTGCGGAATAGGAGGGTGAGCAGTGTTATTTCAAAGAAATATAACAAGCAAGGGGACGGAAGCATCTTGCAAATATGGTTGCTTCCAAAATAAAATCTGCTGTTCAGTCTCAAGTTGAGGGTGATATTTTAAATATTGCAGGCGATGGATATCTTGTGCACCCAAGTTCCGGAGGTTCTAGTTTTTGTCACGTTAGCACAATGTCAAGCATGGATGATAATTAAAGCACATGTTAGTGTTAATCATCGTAGTAATATGTATCACGTACAGAACGATGTTAAATCACATAACTCAGCAGTAATAAAATAGACTTTTATTATGATATGTGCTGTTTTAAAAGTTTATGTGTATTAATTATATACTTTATGTGTATTCCTTATATACTGTATGTGTATTACTTCATATGATTATGTACATTTTTATTTGTGTTAATTACTTTTATTTATTTATGTACATTTCTTTTTTAGATTTGCAGTTATCAGTATAGGGAAATGATATGCTTGGTCATATGTGTATTATGTACATGTTTATATTCAGTAGGATGTTTGATTATATATATTAGCAGAAACAAAATATTTGTTAGACTTTTTTTAGTAGTATGTGCACTGTTTGAAAGTTTGTGTGTATTCATTATATGGGTTATGTGTATTACTTCATATGATTATGTACAATTTTTGATAGTTCACAGTTTTTGTAGTATATGCATTGATTATGCACAAAACTATATTGGGGAATATGAAAAATATAGAATACAAGTAAACATTAGATTGGATTACCAAAAGGAGCATATACAAATTTTTGATAATTGTTTATCAACTGAAACTTCTAGAAATTGAACCAAAAATACAAGTAACCATGTGTTTGGATTAGCAGAACTGATTTTTACAGATTGTGGTTAGTAGTTTCACTTCTCTTTCTTGTAGTTGTCCCTTGCTGATTGCATGACTGTTTCCATGTATTCGTTTTTCTTTCACATGATGATGTTTGCTGCATATTTTGCTCTAAGCGATGTAATGAAAGCAGCCTACAGTAAACAAAAGATACATGTTAAAATTAGAAGAAACAAGAGATAACATGTGTAATGTAGAACAAAGTTGATTATTACTTACATCACTATCACCCCCTACGAAACCTGTTTCCCATTTGTCTACTGCAGTCCCTTTGTAAGTTTCCATGTGGCGCATGCAATACACACCACAATCTGTTGTGTTCTCTTCATTTTGCCATGGCATGTGAATGCACTCAGCTTCGATATTCTTCACTTTTCTTGCAAGGGTGTTTTTCTTCGATTGGAGGTATTTGTAGAAAACTGTTTTCTGCACATTATAGTAATTGCAGTGTTTAATTAATTTAAGTAATGTAAATATTAAACTACAGTGTATAGATATTTAATAGGAGTATTAGTTTATCTTACCAACTTAGCCGGGCAGTTCTCATATCTGTTCGTATTTGGTATTCCCTTGGGCATTAGCTTGTTATCAATGATCTGAAGTTTTGACTTGGGGATGTTAAAGCACATCAAGTAGTAGTGATTGCGCCTCAAGATTGTAAAGAAAACCTGAAATGAATAATTAAAAGGTATTTAACAAATTGTGTCAAATACATACATAAATTCAATAATCTTAAAATTCATATATATATATATATATATATATATATATATATATATATATATATATATATATATATATATATATATTGTTTTACTTACAAGACTTGCATCTGTGATATCAATTGCAGTCCCCCTCAACTGGTAGTCAATATTTGCACAGAAGTCACCTATATCCATATTCCTTGCTTTTATTTCAACATTTTCAAGCGTCATCTGCAAAGAAGAGGTTGTGTGTCATATAGTACATTGTTTTAAAAAATGCGTTAGTTGTAGATGTGTACTTACGTAAGCAGCTTCCGAGAAGCAGATCCTTTTTGGTTGATCAATTGATCTTTTCATATCAAGCACCGTCAATCTGTGTGCCCAGATTTGCAGGATATTTGTAGCTAGTTGTCTATTTGCCAATGTTGCAATGTCCTCCCTCGTTGCAAACAGATCATGGGCAGAAAACAACATTTCACTGGAAACAAACGAAAACAAGTTGATATTACAAAATAAACATTTCACAATTTAAAGTAATATAATGTCATGAAGTAATACACATAACATATAACCAGGACACCAATGTACATAATATCATGAATGAATACACATAACATATACATGAATACACATAACATATATCAGGAATACACATAATGTGGTATATCAACTGAGAACACCAATGTACATAATATCATGAATGAATACACACAACATATACCATGAATACACATAACATATATCAGGAATACACATAATGTGGTATATCAATTGAGAACACCAATGTACATAATATTATGAATGAATACACATAACATATATCATGAATACACATAACAAATATCATGAATACACATAATGTGGTATATCAACTGAAAGCATCTGTTATAACAAGTTATAAATGAAATACATACTAATACGGGTACTCAGTTTCATCTGATGGCAGGAATGCATAGTCTGAGATCAGTTTTTCCCTGGCGGAAACATTCTTGAGCTTTGAAATGTTGCTTATCCAGTACGGGGATCGACAAGCCAGAGGGAGGTTTTTGAACTTTCGCTGTGGCCTCTTCCGGACATTGACATCTTCAACATCATCTTCAGATTCAGCAATGATGCTTTGTAGAGACAGAAAAGTAATTAGGAACATGTTTTAATGTGTTAAGCAGTAGCCATAACAACATGATTAAATAATTAACAAGGATAAATGCACATAAGGATACCGTTAAGTGATATGTGAGTTTTACCTATCAAATTCAATTTGTTCTGGAGTTTTCTATTCAGTTGCTGGTAGTGATTGGGGTGAACCATCAGCTATGTCATCAATGATATTCTCCAAGAGTGTTGCAATTGGGGTAAGTGCTGCTGCTGCTGTGTTTCCTTTGGTTGTTTGTGGTGGTGGTGTGGTGGGTGATGCTGATAGAGTTGCTGCTCGGGGTTCAGATGTGGGTTCGGGCGGAGGTGGTGTTGTTTCAGGTGGAGTTGCATTTCTTGGGGCCTCTTCGGGAGTAGCGTCATGGCTAGTTGGCGTTAGGAGATTAAAAGTTGGTGCGGGTATGTCAGCAGTTGTCATGTTCTTCAATGTTGCCAGGAATGCCGCTTCAAGTTCAGCAACCACATCCAAGAAACTAGGTTGGTTGTAGATATCATCATCTCGCAGTAAGTTTTCCGGTGGGGTTGGATTCGGGCTTGGGGTGAGGTTGGCAGTGGCGGATAAGTTGCTGAACACATTTTTTATAATCTCAACAACAGAGGTGTTTGCCCCAACATCTGCCATGACCTCACCGAACTCCATAATGCTCGTGGTCATCTTTTTCAATGCGGTGGTGACCTTTTCAACTTCCTGACCTTGTGGCAGTTCACGGGGTGGTGACAGTTGAGGAGGTGGTGGCTGATGTGCATCTGGGATATATTCAACGACTTTGCCCTTTCCAAAGCCGCCTATGTCTCTTTCAACCTTGACCCTTGCCCTCAAATCACTTGAAGTCCATGAAGTGATGGTGGGAATTCTCTTTCTGACTATTTCTCCTCTAACCTGCACTTTGTCTAGGTATGCCAACTTCAAATAGAGAAACAAAAAGAAGAAGATAAACCATTCAAAATCAGTATCAGTTTATGTTTAGGTTGGTAGAGTAGGATACACATAAAGTTATTAAAAGATGTACATAATTATAGTCTACAATGTACATAATGTATATCATGAATACACATAAGGTTATAGGTCAATATACAGAGTGCATACCATCAGGAAAGTTGCAGGACCAGTGAAGGCTGCATCAACTTCAAATAGAGAAACTTCAACTGAAAGCACATTATGTTTTACCATCACACACGCAATAATTCATGTGCATGCAAGTTAAAGATTCTATTCCACGCACATTATGTCATAACCGTACGCACATTAATTCTTACAACAGGAATTCTGCACTGGTTATGCACAGTCTTTGCATAGGTTTTCTGATGAGATGGTAAACCTGATTGACTACTCAAAAAATTCACCAGCCATGTTTGAAAACAATCAGAATGTAAAAAACCTGCATTCAATGGCTATAAAGGCACTCAGTCCTGTTGTTCAAGACGTGCAATCATGTCTCTCCCAAGCAGAGCGAGAAGCATTTAGCAGCCAAGACTCCTTTTGGGGCGATCCACAAACATATATTGCAATTGACCTTGCAATACAAAAAAGGAAAGAGTATTTAGAAGAACAGCAGTTTGAATTTCCCAGTTTCGACCTTTTAAAAACACCAATACCAAGCCCCACTTGCAGCAATGTCGATAGTGCTACAGTGACCCGGTTGTCAATTCCAATCCAAAGGAAGCACAGACAGCAACAAGTATTTCATATGAGGTTTTAAATATTGCTGCTTGCTACATTGTTGATGATCTTCAGTAGACTACTTTGGATGGGAACAATAATGACAAGGTTAAGTCTCGTGACGAAGATCACCATGCTGACAGTACTCTTGCCACAGAATTTGAAACACCTAAGATTCAGAATACAAACAAGATAAGTGTTAACGAAGCTGCAAAGGAAACAGCAACACCTGCTGAGGGGAGACTGCAGAGACACTGTGTGGAAAGCAAAATGAAATATGCAATGGACTCTCCATGCTTTACAATGAAACTGAACATCACTGCACCGCACACTCCTAATGAAATCATGCTCAACAACTGGGTTTATACTGCCAATTATACAAATAGGTAAGTTACAGTTGAAATTCCTATGTATGAAATGAGTTTCATAACATGTTAGTGTTCCCCGTGTGCTATAAGATGTTAATAATGTGTGTGAGTCTTATACTTAATGTGCTTGAGATTTCTGATTAATATGCGTTTGTGTAATTCTTAATGTGCGTTTTTGTAATGCCTAAGGTGCGTGAGATTTATGCTTAATGTGCGTCACTGTCAACTTAGCATGGGTTGTTGTGTGAGTTTTTAACACTTTAAATTGCATTATTTGTGTGCTTAATGTGCGTGAATTTTGTGATTAAGGTGTTTCATTCTTGTTCCTAAGATGTGTGAGTCTTATACTTAATGTGCCTGAGATTTCTGATTAATGTGCGTTTGTGTAATGCTTAATGTGCGTATCTGTAATGCCTAGTGTGCGTGAGTTTTATACTTAATGTGCGTCAGTGTCTACTTAGTGCAAGTTGTGTCAAATGTTAAAAGTTTAAATTGAATGATTTGTGTGCTTAATGTGCGTGAGTTTTCTGGTTAATGTGTGTGAGTCTTGTTCTTAAAATGTGTGAGTTTTGTTCTTAATTTACTTGATTGTTTATTTAATGTGAATTGTTGTTAAAACTTAAGGTACATGTATTTTTGTAGAAAGACACACCCATATTAATTGTACAAGTTAAGTTTGCATTTTTTATTTATTTACTTATTGATTTTTTTTACTTCATATCTGATATTTTTTGTAGGCGTGAATTTGCTTTTAAACATGGAGAGAAACGTTTACTGATGATTGAGTTGAGGTCATTGAGGAAGGGTGAACGTGTAGAAGCTGGTGTTTTGGATACTTGGGTTTTAATTCTAAATAGCATGGAGACCTACACCTTTAAGTATCCTAACAAAAGAAGATTCTTTTTCTCAACAACACCAGTTGTAAGTTATTTTATTATTGATTTACGATTTCATGCGCATTAACAAATTTCTTGGAGCACATACTGCATTCCTGACAAGATTATCATACTCCTGTAGGCATCTTCTATTGTGTATAAACCAGCTGCATACAATACTGATCAACTGTATGAAAAGTTTCAAGAAAGTGTTAATCATGACATTGACACTGCTACTGGTGACCCTACAAACTATCGTTTGGTAAATTAAATTCTACATACTTACATTACATTTGAATTTATAACTTCTCCGAACTAACATGTACAAAATGCAGTTCTTTTTCTCAGTCATTGCAACTGATCAAATATATGTCATCTGCATTGATTTGGATGTTTATCAAACATCCATACACATACTTGGCAACTCTTCTGCTGATGGTGCTGGTATTGCCAAATATGGTGATATACCATTTCTTTTGGTGAGTACTAAGTCACACATTTTAAAACATTTTATGAAGTGTAGTTTTTTCTGTTTTTAATGCTTTTCTATTAATCTGCAGAAAGACTACTTTGTGAGATATTTGAACCAGAGGGATTCATACAGTGCTGCAAACAGACTAAAAAAGATTACACCTCAGCGAATGCTAATGCAATGGAGTGATACCGAGAAGAAAGACGATTCTGGAGTATTTACAATGTGCATCATGCAAACATACATGGGAGATGACAGTAGTAAAAATAAACAATCAGATCTTGCAGACCTCAGGGTCAAATACATAACAGCAATTTTAACTGCTGAAATCAATGAACTGTCTTGATTAAAGGCTGGTATTAAAGACGAAAAATAGTGAATATTTTTTAGTGTTAAAGGTTTTATGACATTACAGTAGTTCAACATCTTGATATAAACTCCTTTGGTTTTCAAACACATTAATATATATTTTCACGCAAATTATATGTGGCATGGACGCATATTAAAAATCACCTTATTAATTAATACAAATGATAATCATAATATGCGTCCACTTAGCATTGAACGTGCTTTATAAAAAATTTAATGTGCGTTCATTTTCGTCATAAATAAGTAATTGAAATAAAATAAAGAAAAAAAATAAACATAAAAACTCTTAACATGTTTATAAAACAAAGTTAATATGTGTTGATATTCGGTATTAAAAATTACATTACAACTTGCGTAAGTTCATATCTTACTGTGCGTTCATTTACATAATAAAATAACGTGGAAAATAATAATTATTAAAAACAAATATAAAAAAAAAAGAATACAAATTCAAATAAATTAATGTGCGTTCAAATTCACCATTAAATGCGTGTCATTAAAGTACAACATGCGGGACCTCAAATCTTGATGTGCGTTGAGTTGAGTACCAATTAAAATAAATCATCTCTCATAACTCTTTAATATGCGTCTCATATCCCTTTAATATGTGTGTCAGATCTCTTTAATATGCGTCTCTTATATGTTTAATATGCGTCTCATATATCTTTCATGAGCGTCGGTCCGTCTAACACTTACTATGCGTGCACGTATTACGCAGTGTGCTTCAAAAATATAACTTAACGTGCTCCATTTTCATAACCAAATAAACAAGATCAGTTTTCTGAGATGAAAAAGAACAAATGTAGATCCACGACAAATAAATACAATATAGCGACAGAGAATGGAAAAAGATTTGGAAACAACAACAATGGACACCGCAATGCTAAACGACTGGGAGAAGATAGACAACTGAACGATTCTTTGAAAAACAAAAACAAAGTCGCCGGCAATGCGAACGACGATGGAGAACAGCGATGAAAGTTAATTTATTCAAAATTACTAATTTGTCCCTCCGTACGCGAATACAAGAAAAATACGTGAATTTAGATCTTTGAGATCAACGGTGAAGATATTTTAACTTATCTTTACAACAGCACATCCACACCTAATAGTGCCAAGCGCACCAGAACCCGAACCTATATATATATATATATATATATATATATATATATATATATATATATATATATATATATATATATATATATATATATATATATATATATATATATATATATATAGCAAACAATAGTGTTGATACAGCTCATTCTTATTTTCCTCACACTCAAAACCCTCTTGTCCTGCCCCATAGAATGTACGTAGACTGAAGCTGTTGAGGGTGACTTGTAATCTCGGCCTGATCTAGAAGCCTGTCGTGTGCATGCTTGCATGGGGCTGGGAATTCACCTGAATGAGAAGTATGTATAGAATTATTTGAAGTACTGTGGAACCATACATTACGGAGGCATCTGATGCAAGAAGCCGAGGAATGAAGAAGCCAACCAAAGATGACACATAAGTGGACATGGCTTCGTTGGTCGGAGAAGAAGAAGTCATACTTGCAATATATGGAGTAATAATTAATTTATTGTAGTAGTTTTCACTCGAATTTGAACTGAAACAATGCAACATGGTGGGACTATGTTTCTTAGATCACATAAGGGATTTTAGAGTGCCAACGACTACGTACAGTTGGGACATTGTTGTTCTTGGCTTCTTGTATCAAAGCATGTGCAAGAAAATTTGGTTTGATTAATGCAGGCCAGGTGAGGGTTATGCATATATAGCATAATTAAGTAGGATGGGTAGAGATGGTTTGGAAATTCATCAATATGATGCAGGTCGAGTTTGTGCATGATTTCAAAGTGTGTTTAATAGCTATAATGTTTAGTGCGTGATTAATTTGGGCGGCTTCAGTGCAAGATTTGATCCTGATATATGTCTATAGAACTCGTGATCGTTGACAAAGCATTCAACTGATGAAGACATGGGAAACATGACTCAGTTACGTATCATGCAATTATTAGGTGAAGTGTTATTCCCCAACACGTTGAACAACAAGGTGATCGAGACTATGTTTCTTAGACTACATTAGAGATTTGACAACGAATTCAAATTTTTTTAGATCGTCATGGTTGGCTGGTGACGGCCCCGGACAACCATGGTCGTCCATGGCCGTTTGGAACCAGGGCGACAGCCATGACCATCGCCCTTGTTCCCGGCCGTTTGAGGTCCAGATATGCACCTCATGTTGACAGCCGTGGCTGTCCTCGCCCGAAACCCGTTGACTAATTTTATTTTTATTTATTATTTTTAATAATAAATAAAAAGTTTTTATAGAATAAAAATAAAAAAATATTTTAAAAGTGACATGTGTCACCTTGGGATGAATTAACCTGCTATACATGTTCCTTTAGACTCAATTGAGCTATTTTACAGGTTTAGAAGATCTGAATGGAGCTTTTTTTTTTCTTTTTTTCTTTTTTTTTTTTTTTTACTTAGGGGACCTAATTGCACTATCTTAAAAAAAAAAAAAAAAAAAAAAAAAAAAAGAAGATGCTAAATTAAATACTCATAAAAATATATGGATTAACACACTCAGATTCTTTGGCGAGACTTGAATCATAGAGAGGATGTGCTACTAATACAAAAGAATTAACTTTGAATTTGATCAAATTTAAACTATCAATGCATTTAAGGTGAGGATTACCAAATTAAAACCAATTCCGCACTAAATCTTCTAGCCCATGATTCAGGCAAAGCATTATTTTTTTTTTAATCCTTGGTTAAACACGATCCTTAGTTAAACAAAAAGATGTAAAAATGGTTGGAAGTTAAAAGGTATATAGACTAAAGAAACTATATAAGAAAATTACAAGAAAATAGTTAATATAGAAAGTTAGAATATTCTTTAAATAAAATTAACTTACACTAGGAAAAATTATCCAGCATGAGTCTTTTACTCAAGAAGATTTGCGGAGAAAAAGTGTAGTTTACTATCAAGCTATTCTTAATCTCGAAGTAAAATATGCATAGACATAGATAAGGGAGTGACGAGATTGACCTGAAACCTACTATCGGTTGTTGAAAAAACTGTAATTTACTATCAAGGTACACTCTTAATCTCGAAATAAAATATTCATTATTGGATATAGACTGTATAGGTGCTTTGAAGAAAAGCTTGATAGTAACCAAACCCACAATTGAAGAAGAATGAGGAACTGCCAATTAGACAAGCATTATCCATGGTCACCCTACACATGCTTCAGTACAAGAAGGCAAGAACAACACTACCCAACCGTAGTTAGTGGCACTTTGCAAATCTCTAATGTAGTCTAAGAAAAATAGTCTTACATTGTTGTTCGACGTGTCGGAGAATAACACTCCACTCACCTAATAATTGCATGATACGCAACTGAGTCATGCACTCTATGTCTTTACCATCTGAATGCTTTGTTAGTGGTTGCGAATTTTGTAGACATGTCAGGATCAAACGAGACGTGTAGGAAATTGAGTTATTGTTAGGCCTAATAATGCCGAGGAGGTCATGACATATGCCATCAATGCGCACTTTGGGAATGGATGGTGCACTATGTCAAATGAAAGGGTTACACTGGCTTCGTGTCCTCCAATTGGGTTTGGAGCTTCAAATCCTTCAGGAAAATGCAAAGCAAACATCTAACTCAATTTTTGGCACATCTTGTTTGATCCTCAATTATACAAAACCCGACACTACTAACAGAACATTCAACTCATGAAGACTTGCAATGCATGCATGGCCCGACTGTGTATCATGCAATTACTAGGTGAAATGTTATTCCCCGACATGTATGTCAAATAATGCAACATGGTGGGACTATGTTTCTTAGACCACACAAGGGATCTTGATGTCTATGACAGAATGCGCGACCTCTGACAAAGCATTATATTCAACTGATGAAGACATGGAAAACATGACTCAGTTACATATCATGCAATTACTAGGTGAAGCATTATTCCCCGACACGTCGAACAACAAGGTGAGACAATGTTTCTTACACTACCTTAGAGATTTGCAAACTGCCAACGACTATATTTGGGGTAGTGATATTCTTGCCTTCTTGTATCGAAGCATGTGCAGGGTGACCATGGATAATGCTTATCAAATTAGTCGTTCATCATTCTTCTTCAATTGTGGGTTTGGGAGCATATCATTGTGCCTTACTCTCTCCAAACATACCCTTCCTCCCATGGGCGGAGCCATAAAATTTTTTTAGTGGGGGCAAATATTAAAACAAAAGAGATAATTTTAAAAAATAAATAAAACACATAGGAAACATAACTAGAAATATTGTTGGATATAGATGAAAAATAAAATATATCAAAACGTTATAAAAACAATCATAACAAAACACATTATGTATCACACATCTCATTATTATTATATTACAAAAATGATAATGGTTAGATATGGTGAAAAAATATATTTAAAAAATGACCATTGTTGGTTATGGGTGAAAAAATAAAATACATAATAAATGTAAGTAAAACTAGCAAGCACTACACATGACCTTACATAAGTTGCACGCATACCTTACCAACTTGACTAACTTATCTTTTCGTTACTTTTATATATATTTTATAATTATACCTAAACATGTACTCTATATATATATATATATATATATATATATATATATATATATATATATATATATATATATATAATTACTAGGGCTATATATGGGGGTGGGGTGGGGGAGGGGGCAGCTGCCCCACTATAGCTCGACTCATGCATCCTCCCTCATGATCGGACCTATTAGATCGACTAGCCCTGTTAGCTAGGTATATATATTTACTAATTTATTTCAAAATTATGCTAAACCAAGATCATGTGTTAAAAATTAAATATTGTCCAATAGGTACCACCCATTAAATATGCATGCATGAACATATACTTAAAAAAAAACAATAAATAAGTATAATAATAATATTAAA